ACATTAAAATTCGGTGACGAGGAACCCACTTTGAGATTAATAAGGGCTGGAGACGGCTTACCCATTTAAGCCATCTCCAGCAATTACTACACATTAAAGTTTAAGTGTGATATAAATGTATTACTGCTTCTAATTTGTATGTATTTAATTTTGAATCAATCAGCTCTTAAAAGAATAATTTTATTTTCTAGCTGTAGGCATCACTTATTTTTGAAAATATATATTTAAATTCTGATTTCTTTGTCTATTAATTTAGTAAACAAAGATTTGAAAGAATCAATTTTATAAAAACATTAGACTGAAGACTGTGTACTGGATGCTGCTCTTTAATCTCTTCTTTGCAATTTACGGTATGTCTGCCTTTCCTGTAAGAGAACCAAAATTGCACCAGTACACTAAATGTAATGTTATGATAATCTTCATACTTTTAAAATTAAAATTGGTATAAATAAATTCCAAAGGCTCCAGATATTTATCAATTCTTGCATCTAAATCTTTGCCTTTCTCCGTAACACCAAAATTCCTCAAGTTTGCAATGTTTCTCATTTTTTAAAATTGAAACTAAAAAAAAAAACTTTTAAGTCAGATTTAATGCTATGAGCTTAAAAAGCATGTTATTTCTTTTTAGCTTTAATTGTTATTTTTCTTGACCTCTTTCTTCATTTCATGAACTTTGGTATTTTTCCTTATGCTAACAGGTTTTTCATTCTTTTAAATTTGGCATTTTTTATGTATTAATAATTCTTTTTCCCTTTTCATCTACTTAGAAATGCAAGATTTTGAAAGAAACATTCTTTTTAAAATAATTTAATCGAACTAGTAATAATAATCCATACTTTATTTACACTTCATATTTTGATTTGCCAACCAATATTCCCTTTTATTGTATCTTCCTTGAAATGGAGACACGAGGTATACAACAAATACCATTTTCCAACTAGTTTGAATTAAACATCATAGGTAATCACAAGTTCTCTGTACCCTTGCACAAGAAAATTTCTGACTGCATCTTCTATTAACAAGTATGAAATAACATTTTTTTTACTGATTTCTTTGACATCCTGAGTTTAAAAAGAAATTATGTGCAGTGGCTAGATTCCAGGCAGCTGAGAACAATACTAAATACCTGGCAGTCCAGAAATTTCAATATTGATGAGCTACAACAACAACTGTAATAAAAAATAATAATAATAATTTCAAAAAATTATCATAAATTTTGTAAATAATATAAATTATCATATTGGAAGCTTATCAATATTCACGATAGTGAAATTATATGCTACTGGGTATCTAGTATCTTAAGGATCATTCCTGACAGCTTGTAGAAACGACACATGCCAGTTGATGATGAACAAGTATGACAATTGGTAGTTATCTTTTCAGAGCAAAAGTTTTATTCAGATTATTTCATTAAGCTTGAAGACAAATCAATCTTCTAACTTACTGTTACTCATTCTTTAAGTCAAATGAGAGGTTATCCTAGCTCATTAATATTAAAATATTTGGACAATTGGTATTTAGTATTACAAAGATCGTTCCCCACTGCCAAGTATCTAGCTACTATGAAAAGAAATTCAACAAGTTACTCAGCTTAACATGAATAAGAC